TAAGTCTGTATAAAACAACTTTAAGTGTTGATTTTGTAAAATTTTTAAACATGGAAGATTGAGTTTCATTTCATCTCGTCGGAAATTACTGAAGATGGAAAAGTATCCGAAAAAAATCTGTTTAAGTAAAAAAAAAAAAACAACATTCATACAAAATCATAAATATATTCATGTTAAAATAAATTTATGTGCAAGTATTCATACAAACGAACACATATATATCATGCAATAAGAATACAGAAACTTTCTGATAATCTGCATAAAAAAAACGCTATAAGTTTAATGCAAACGTTTCCAGCATTTTAAAACCAATTCTTTTATTCATATATTCAAACGAACGCACGCACACACATGCACGCATAAGCACAAACACACACACATATATTCATGCATACCATTATTCCAATCTTGAGACCCAGGTTCGAATCTCACCATGGTCGATTTGTCAGGATGATAAATTCTTGATGCTATCAGGCTTGGAGAGGCGATCCAAGCTTTCGAAAAAACTTGAAAACAACACCACTTGAGTTTATGGAATTGTCGATGATAGCACGAAGTTACAAGTCGTCGTGACCGAGACGTTTTCAACTGACTTGAATTGGAACGACTACATCGGATCAATAGCTGCATCTACTGCAAGGAAAATTGGGTCACTGTATCGTGCCAGGTTTTTCTAATCAGAGTCCATCTTACGGATTTACAAATCTACCATTCGTCCGTGCATTGAATACAGTTGCCATATCTCGTCCGGCGCTCCTGCTATTCATCTCGAGATTATTGACAAAATCCGAAGAAGGATTTACAATGTAATATCCTGAACAGACGGGACTTCCCTCTGTCTTTTCTACAAATATTTTAATGGAAACTCATCTGACAAGCTTTTATCCCTGCTGCCACGACTGCGTGAATTTAAGCGTGTTACTAGATTGGCATCTAGGTCCCACCGTTTTATTGTTGAAATAGTTAAAAATAACCGGCACTTCTACACCAATAGCAATTCCCGCTCGTGAAACTCCTTCCGTTTACTTGCTTCCCTGATAACTACAATCTTCAAAAATTTAAATGTAACGTTAATCGCCATCTATCTTCTTGAATTCCTGTCATCTTTTATTCTTTCCTCAATCCCCCTACACGCAGTCTTTTCTCTCATTTTAACTCTCTGTAACCCCTTGCGTACCAGTGGTATTCACGTCTTGCTTGGGGTGAAATGATTTAAAAAGGGTAAAAATATAGGAAAGAGATGTTGTAAATGCAACTGGAGTCTTTAAGAATATTTATTTAGAGTAACTTTACCGGTTTCACAGTTCTATGATTTTCAAAAGTTAAACTGAGATGAAGAGAAGTGTGGCTATGACATATGTCAAGCATCTAAATGGAGTCGGAGAATTCTTTCCGTTTTATGCAAAAAAAGTGATTCTGATTGCTATTTGTTTAAAATGCAATCTGGTTGGTTGATTTTGATCACGTGATTAGGTATAGTAATTACATATATATAACACAATTCAACAACACCGATTAAAATACATAAACATAACTATAATTTAACGTATTTCAAAGTGAACCCAATATTTAAATGTTGCTATGTTCTAAACGAACACTAGCAGAGTATACATTTCAAAATTGGATTTTGTTTGAATTCTTTTATGATTAGAATTTATTATGTAGTTTATAAATATGAAATCTCGTAGTAATTCTCCCAGATGAGCATTGTATCATAAAAGTCGCTTGAGAGAGAAGTCTATTGAACTTTTATGAATTTATTTACTACTAGCTTAAAAGTCGTAATCCATACGAATTTTTAAGCTAGCTTCTGCGCAGGTCTAATTGAGTAATTGAGCCTCTGGTCCAAAACTAAAACTCTGATCCAAGCTATAAGTCCAGTTCCGTCCAAATATCCAATTTGGACCGAAAGTCCCATTTTGGCCGAAACTCCGATTTGAGTCGAAATTCCAATTCAGGCCGAAAATTGAGTTTTTTTCAAATCGCAAACACTGAAGAATTTCAAAGCCTCACATCACGAAACCTCTCACTTTTTATCTGATTCCTTGGAATTTAAAAAAAATAAAATTGATTTCATCAATTCAGAAACTTTTGGAGATATTTTAAACTAAATTTAAAACAAACAGTTCTTGTCAATATAAATTAAAAACTTAAAAAATTCCTCATTTTTTTTAGTTATTTTAAAATTTGAATTTTTAACTGTTCACTCCTCATCCGGACCACAAATCCCGATACTGGATGCTCAAACATCAGATGAAAGGCATATTTCCAATCTCAGGATCATGCTGATTCCAAAAGGTATAATATATCTATGTAGACTAAATGTGACCCGATTTAGAGGAGTATCAGACACACGAACAGAGACAGAATTTGACGTGTATATATATATATATATATATATATATATATATATATACTAATATAGGTAACTATACTCGTTTCGGAAAACCCCAGAATTTTTGATTTGTCAATAATCAAATCAATCTCGAGGGAAAAAAAGTTTTAAAAAAAGAAAGAGCTAGAAACATGAAAGGCTGTTATATATATATATATGTTAAGTTGCATAAAAATTTCAACAGCATTTTTTACTCCCTTTCGTTTATTAGACATGAAATTTTGTCTCTTAGCGTTCTCCATAACTTACCTAGATTTTTAGCTAACCTGCTGAATATTTCTGAGCGTTGCCTAAATTTAAAAATTTTGAAAAAGTAACAAAATTTTTGCTTTTGTATATAAATACTTGTTACAAGATAAAATCCTTGCATTTGCTTTGATAAAGTCCCTCAGAGGAAGAAACGCGTCCGCTAAGATAAGTTTTATTTTTGTCTTTGTTCATATAGATATATGCCTATGGGTGTAAGAAAAACAAGCACAACCAGTGACAAATTTACATAGAAGTCTTGAAACATACGGGGACTCTGTTCTTTTGCGACTTTTACCAATATAAGGCCCTAGAACCAATCTATAGAAGTCCCTAGAACGACTCAAGCTGGAAGGCCCTAGAACCACTCAAGTTAGAAGGCCCTAGAACCACTCAAGCTAGAAGGCCCTAGAACCACTCAAGCTAGAAAGCCCTAGAACCACTCAAGCTGGAAGGCACTAGAACCACTCAAGCTAGATGGCCCTAGAACCACTCAAGCTGGAATGGCCCTAGAACCACTCAAGCTGGAAGGCCCTAGAACCACTCAAGCTAGAAGGCCCTAGAACCACTCAAGCTAGAAGGCCCTAGAACCGCTCAAGTTAGTACAGCTTATAATGATATGTAGGTAAAATAACGGTTAAGCCGAGACTTGAAGCGTTATGGGGAAAGCATCCTTGCCGGAGTCTGTTTCCCAAAGTAACTATTTGTGGAAAGAATTTTTTGGGGTGAAACTTCCTTCTTACTAATGGAATACGAGAGGAAGAGGATGGTTCGTATCAGGGTAAATGGCATGGTGGATCTTAGCTTTGAAGATCTGGTGGAACTAAAGAATGCAGTTCGTTAGAACATTTTCCATTTAAATAGCGATAAGCTTTTGACTTTTCGTTTGTGAGAAAGAAGTTGTAGAGTGGAAGCTTGAAAAGTGAGGATGGCAGCTCTAAGCCAGATATGGCAGCAACAATCCATTTTTGGTCCGATCTCGTGAAGATAGAACATAATAGGGGGGGGACTCAAGTACATACTGGAGAGGTACCTGGAACCGATCACTTTTTCAGCATCTTTAGCGATGAATCGTATACATAAGTACCACTTGAGATTTTTTATGCAATTAATATTCAAATTATATATCTTCATTCCTGAAACAATTACTCCTATCCCAAGCCAACATACATCACTACAAAATGCTAAATAAATAAAAGAAAGCGGTTAAATTTATAACGTCCTATATAATACATAAAATTATCCCATACGAAAATAATTTTAATATTAATTGCATAAAAAGTTCAACAATTTACTCAATTTCTTTTATGAGACATTAAATCAATTCACTCAGTATCCTCCGTAATTTATGTAGACTTTTTGGCTAACGTGATGAATATTTATGAGGTCTTTTAAATTTAAAAAATTTGAAAAATTAACAACAGTTTTTCTTTTGTTTATAAATATTTGTAGTAAATCTTCAGATCCGGCTTGATAATGAGCGTCGGAGGACGAAACACGTCGGCTAAGATGAGTTTTCCTTTTGTTTTTATTCACACACACATGTATATATATTTCTAGAGAAAGTAATGGATTTTATTTATTTATCAATCCGATAATCTTTTATCAAATTAATGTTAATTTTAGAGGAAACATATATTTGAGTAGACACCACAGTTTATCTTTTAAGGAGTATTTAATTTTATTCCATCGACATGAATATTCGAGAGTTATTATTAAAGAAATATACTTTATAAAGCACTAGCTTTGTTTGATCGAGGATTAGTGCGTGAGTGGGTGGTTTGGTCGTTTTAACGTCGATCTTTTAAGAAGATGATATTATATCAGACATAAAAACCAAACTTCCCTCTACCACATTTTCTACCAATCTGGTATCGCCAAGAAGCAAATTGAATCTTCCATCCCAAGACACTCCGCACAATGCCACGCCAACAGGAGAACCGAGTCATGGCTGTCAGATAATTTATGCGACCACATCACCCTTACAGTTAACAACACAGACTGCAAAAGACTTGATTATTATCTCTGAGGCACAGTTGAGCTAGAGACCAACAAATCTCCTTGTAACACCAAAGATGAAATGAAGGCAGGGATTATGGCATCATACACTAACTTAAACAAGGAGATCGATCATTGCTGGCGATTCCGAAGTCGGCCGGAGGCCATGGTTGAGACCAATGGCTATTTTATTGAATAAATGTACTCTTCAGTATTTCAAAATATTTTTGTGCAATTTTGGCAAATATATCTGTTAAAATGAGATGTCAATGTTTTTTTGATTTTTGCGTAATTTAGACGACAATTTATCCATTGCACGCTGTAGATGGAAAGATAGATAAGATTGAAAATAGTTAAGAGA